ATAAGCAACAACCTGCCCCTTGATGGTTGTCTTTGGTCTGTATTGTAGATTGAACTGACTTAATTTCATGGCCCATTTGAGCAGTTTACCTGATGCCTCCGGCTTCTGGAGGACCTGCCTAAGAGTGTAACTGGTCATTACATGAATTGTATGGGCATGGAAATAAGGTCGCAGCTTTTTGGAAGCGATCAGCAGGGCATAAGCTAATCATTCCATTTCTGAATACTACATCTTGGCATCCAACAAACGCTTGCTCGCATAATATACCAGCCATTAGACCATGTTCTCTTCCCGAACTAATGCTGCACTGACCGCGTATTGTGAGACGGACAGATACAGGAGGAGAATTTCTTGCAGGAGAGGCTTGGACAGAAAATAGGGCTTCCCGAGGTGTTCTTTGATGCTCTGGAACGCCTGTTCACACTCAGAAATCCACTCGAACTTCTTGTTGGCCCTGAGTACATTGAAGAACGGCAAGCAGCGGTCTGTTACTCTCGATATGAAGCGACTCAGTGCCGCAATTCGCCTATTGAGGCTCTGAACCTGCTTCTTGGTGGTCGGGCTTTTCATATCGAGGAGAACTTGGATTTTCTCGGGGTTGATCTCTATACCCCTCTGGTTAACCATGTATCCCAGGAATTTTCCCGAGGACACTCCGAAGTAGCACTTGACTTCCAGAGGATGTCGAACATCTCGGCGAGATGCGCTATGTGATCTAAAGCGACATGCGACTTGACCAGCATGTCATTGACATAGACTTCCATCGACTTCCCTATCTGCTCGGAGAACATTCGGTTAACCAGCCACTAATAAGCTGCACCGGTGTTCTTTAGGCCGAAGGGCATAACTTTGTAGCAATATAGCCTCCGATTCGTGATAAAGGAGGTATGCTCTTCGTCCGACGTATACATCAGAATTTGGTTGTACCCCGTGTATGCATCCATAAAACTTAGCAGCTCGTGCTCGGAGGTGGTATCCACGAGCTGGTCGATCCTTGGCAAGGAAAAACTGTCTTTTAGGCATGCTTTGTTGAGGTCGGTGAAGTCAACACAGGCTTGCCACTTGTCATTGGGCTTTTTTACAAGAACCAGGTTAGTAACCCAGCTCGGATAGAGCGCTTTCCGGATGGATTCATTGCGAAGGAGATTATCTACCTCAAGTTTTAAGGCATCATATCGCTCAGGATCCATCGCTCTTCTCTTTTGGCGAACCGGTCTGGCTTCACTGTCGATGTTCAGGGCATGACATATCACGTCCGGGCTGATCCTAACCATGTCACCATGAGTCCATGCGAACACATCTATTTTTTCTCTGAGGAAGCTGGTCAAGTCGCTAGCGAGCTGGGGGTTGAAATTGCTTCCAATCCTCAACACTCTGCTCGGTTTGTTTTGATCAATCGACACTTCTGATAAATCCTCAACTGGCCCACCAAAAGGGCATTCCTGGATATGAGGATCCATATTATCCTCGGTTGGGCCAGGCTATGGTTTGATCTCGCTGATCACCATTGCCTGTCTCGAAATGCCGTGCGAGATGCCTTTCCCTTTGTATGCCATCTGCATTGCTCTTACATAGCATTCGCGAGATGCGCACTAAGATCCGCTTACTTCCCCTATCCCTGTTGGGGTGGGGAACTTCATCTTGAGATGGTATATCGAAGTGACTATCTTGAAGTTTCTCAGTAGGGGTCCCCGCAAGATGCCATTGAAAGTGGATGGGCAATCCACTACTAAGAATTCAGTTATCTTGGTCACCTCATCAGAGTTGCCCAACGTGACTAGAGGCAAGATCGTTCATTTGGGGATTAGGTGATCCCCTGTAAAACTATATAGGGGGATTGAGGCGGGCTTCAGGTCGGCCTCATCCAATTTCATTCTCTCGAAAGTTGGCTGGAACAGAATGTTCACAGTGCTTCCATTGTCCACCAACATTCTGTGGACGTCAAAGCTCCCTATCTAGGGCGTGATGATGAGAGCATCATCATGGGGATGGTGTAATCGGACTGCATCTTTTTCGGAGAAGGTGATTTCCTCCTCCTTGGGAACCTTTGGTGGTCGCTGCGTCGTGTTCATCACACTGATGAGGTTGTGATGGGCTGCGCGAGCATATCTCTCTTGGGCACCTCGCGAATTTCCTGCGAGGAGCAGTCCTCCAAAGATTACTCCTACGCTGCAGATGCCCTTCCGATTACGACGTTTCTTTCCTGATTCCTCTTGATTTTTCTCCCACACGGGAGTAGAGTCATCAACGTATTCTTTGAAGTGCCCCTGCTTGATAAGGTTTTCGATTGCCTGTTTGAGAGCCTAGCACTCATCGGTGTGATGCCCATTGTCCTGATGATAACATCAGTATTTCTTATTATTTCTGGATGAAGAGGGACCTTTCATGGGCTCGGGCTTTCCGAGCAGACTGGCCTCTTCTGATTTGTCAAGAATGGTTGAGGCAGATGCATTCAAAGGGGTAGATTGACTCCTGTCACGATCGTGATGAGGAACTGGAGCATAAGACTTCTTAGGCTCAAACCGAGGTTTCTTTCCTTTTCGTTGATCGTCATTAGCCCATCTGCGATCAATTCTCCTACTTTCCCCCCGACTAGGTGCACCACCTGAAGTGTCAGGGTCGTGGTGGTGGAGCGTCGCCACGGAGCTCTCAATACGGAGGTATTTCTCCGCAAGGCTGTAGAAGCGGGTGAGGGAAATGTCGTCCTCTGATTGCAGCTTTTTCCACAGATCTGTTTGTGGATGAACTCCCGCGATGATGAGAGTCCGAAAAGACTCTTCGGGAGTGTGAGCTACTTTATGGAGCTCTTTGTGGAATTTGTCGACGTAAGATTTGAGGAATTCGTCCCTTTCTTGCCTTATATAGGCATTGAGAACTTCTTGTTCGTCTGGAAGTGTCTCAAGAATTTTGAGCCCATCTGATTCCACGAGCTAATGGATCCTGCAGGGAGCGACTTGAACCACCGCTTGTCATGCGAAGTAAGAGTTACTGCCAAGCAACGACATTTTGCCAAGTCAGAAACTTGATGAAGTTCCATCAGGTCATTGAATTCATATAGATGATCTTGCGGATCAGAGTTCCCATCGAACGCCCACATGTCGGGCATTCTGAATCTCGATGGGAGAGGGGCGACCAATACCGCCAGAGAAAAGGGAGACGTCTCTGCGACCTGCCCTTGCTCATTTAGTTGAGCCTTTAACTAATACAGAGCTCGCTGTAACTCCTTAATCTGAGGTAGCCGAGCTACTTGTAGATTACTTTCCACGACGTGGGTTCGACCTTCATGATAGTGGTTGAGGAATAACCGTAGGTCGTATTCCTCCTCGCCTCTGCCGGCAGTTCCGGCCAATCTTGACACATGTTGGCTAGAGTCGTGTGATGGCGCTGCATTATTCGGGGAACTTTCACGACCCCCGCGGTGGTGCGGACCGACCCATGGAGTGTGGTAACTTCCCGCATGACGATCATAGTCGTCATTTCAGCGGTGATGAGAATCACCCCGCCTCGCACTTTTGTGGGAATGCTCGCGCGACGTGGCATTGGACAGCTCAGGTCTTGACATGTCACCGAGCCTTAAAGCCACGGGTATTCTACCTAGGGCACAGTCGGTGTTCACTGGACCCTCGAAGCCCCTGGGCCCGCTGTTCACCACTTGCTTTCCCTTCTTCCGATGCGTTACAGTACGCACGGCATGGGCACTTTCATGCGACCTACATGCGTCTTTGGTGGTTGCACTGCCTTATTTGATTTGGGTGGCATGCCCCAGTCTAATCGGTCCAGCCTTTGGCTGACCGATTGAAGAGTATTGTTGAACCTCTCCAGGTAGCTCATGACGGTTGGGTTAAGCCGTGAGCTCGAAGGGACATCCCCCACGGTATTTTGTGGAACTAAAGGCACCTCAGGAGAAGTGTCCTGTACTTGGGGAATCTCCTCATCACCTCGATCGGTTCGCTCAGACTCAAATCGGTGAGCCATTTGCTATTGTAGGATCGATTAGTCATAGATTCTCCTGATGAAGGACAAATACTAAATCAGGCTCTCCTTCTAGTGCCAAACTGTTGATGCTCAATTTTGACACTAACGACTCGCACGTGGGAAACGCTGAGCTGACTTAGGAGACACATGTGAATGAGGGATTGAAAGTGTAAAAGTGGGGAAACAATGTTTAAAGTGGTTCGAATGCTTAAACAAGTGAATCCTACGTCCACTGATATTGTATATATATTTGAAGGATCAGGTCGTGGTAAGCAAGCTGACTTTAGAGTACTGAGAATACAAATAGGGGAGAGAGAGAGAGAGAGAGAGAGAGAGAGAATAAGCTATTATAGAGTAAAAATGAGCTAATCCCACAAACGGGAGAGGAGCTCTTTATTTATAGTGGGATGTATTGAGGTAATGATTGCTGAATCTGGGAGTGGGTCAGGTTACTGTGCAGATCCTTCTTTGTGTTCCGTTGTTTACCTACTTTGAGAGATTTGCGCGACGTGTGCAGGGATTAGACACGTGGAGCGCCTTTAGCCTCTTGCCATTCTGGCGCGCACCCACTGCGCTGCTCACGTCACCACGTGATGTGGCTGCGTCTGGATGATTGCAGGACCTACCTAAGGTCTGACTACTTACATTGATAGGGTGCTGCATCAACCCTACTTTTCTACGCATAACAATCTCTAACCATTGTTGACTGGTTTTCCAACTTCTCGAATCTTGTCTAATGGGGATGGTACAAAAGGTCAGAAAATTTTAGTTGCTTTAAAGTTAGAAATTGCTTAATAAAATCATATAAAAGATTTATTTATATATATTATCTTGTGGGAACATTAATATATTTTAAAAAGTGAAATACAGTAACATTTTATAAGTGTTATCATAAACCCAATTATTTACTGGAAAATAAAATATTATTCCCGTGAAATGAGATTGATTTTGTCTTATTTTTATTGTTTATGGGTCAAATACATATTATTTGGGTTTACTTTGTCACTTTTAAGGAAAACCGGGTCAAAAATGTTGGAAAGGTAAAAACCTAAAACTTATTCGCTAACTCATTTCATTCTCTTCTTGTTCGTTCTCTTCTCACTGACGGCGCAAACTTCTTCATTCTTGAACTTGAATCTTCGTTCTTCGATCCCTTTAGTCTTTTCTTCGATCTGTTTTCATCTTTGACCGATTGATCATCGTGGACCTTCGCTGTTTGACTTCGATCTTCTTGGAATCTTTCATCTTCGACATTCGTTCATCTTACAATCGTTCATCATCTTTGATTTCAGCGACTTTAACAGGTAAATTTTTGTAGAGTACATAATTTCCGATTCACGTTTTCATTATTTTTCAAAATAACCTGAATACTCTGTCTTTGTGGGTGATTTTAAGAATTAAAATTCAGTTTGCTGCTTGGTTGGAACTTGAAATTGATAAAGCCAACGACTTCCTGCAGAACATTTTCATTTTAATAACGAGTGCAAGAAGAATGCTGTTATTGAAATGAACCCTATTTTACTTGTGGCTGTATCTGTGGTTGGATTTTGACGTTTTTAGCATTAAAAGAAGATTGCATGTTTCTTGGATTCTTCTGGTGATGGAATTGTGTTCGCATTTGCTTTTTTGGTTGCGTTCTTTCCACTCTTTGAATTTCTTTGGTAGGATAATCATTCAGTTCAACTTTATTCATTCTGCCACACGATGGAGTGTGACATGGCTGAGTTTCACTGTTTCTAATGACTTATCTTTTGTGATTTTTTATGCCAAAGAAACAAAATGAGGAAATAGAAAAAAAAAAAAAAAATGAAAAACTCAAACTCTCTTCTTCTGGGTGCTTTCAATTAATGTTCGAAGACAGAATTTCATGTATACTTCATCTTTATATCAATTTAATGGAGTACTTCACTACTTCTTCAGAAAAGGGATTGACTACCTTGTTTTTCCAGGCAGACAGTGTGTGTTATCAAGGCTTAGGTTCTGAAAGTTCAGGCTCTCGTTAGATTATATGTAGATTAGTTGTTTATTTATGCGATCTGGGATTTCTTCAACTTGATGATGGGCTGTTGAATATTAATGTCCTGTCTGTGTCGTTGAAGTTAGAACGTCTTACAAAAGATGTGGATTTGATCTTGATCTGATCATCCTCATCTCTTTTTCAGGTGTACAAAACATTTTCTTAATCTTATCAAACCAAAAATAATAGTTTTAGTCTGCACAAAATTTTATTTTCTTTTGCCTTTTGATTCATTTGCAGTAAAGCTAATTATTCCAATGATGTTTGAAGATTTTGAGGTGAGGATGGTAATGGAGGAAGATTAGAAAAAACAAAGCAAGGGGCTGTGTTGGTATTTTGGTTTGGTGAGAAAGCTTACATGTTGATAGGGTTTTTGATAAGAACCATTTATTGCATGTGATGTAGATTCTTGTACACACCATCTTCACTTCAAGGCCTTGGTGCATGTACTGTATCTGTATTTCATCAATGCACCCTCTTAGGTTATTGGAGGGTTTGGCAATGTTACCGGACAGGTAATTTTGAAATACCCCATTAGGGGAAATGTGATGTTGTATTTGCAACAAAAATTCAGTTAAGGAAATATGACCCTTTGCCAAAATCTGATTCATGTAATTGGATTCTGCTTTTAGGTTGGGGTGTTATTTTGAGTGAAGTAGAAGAAGAATGCTGTTGTTGAAATGAACCCTACTTCACTTGTGGCGGTATCTTTGGTTGGATTTTGAAGTTTTTAGCATTAGAAGAAGATTGCATGTTTCTTGGATTCTCCTGGTGATGGAATTGTGTTTGCATTTGCTTTTTCTGTTGTTTTCTTTCCACTCTTTGAATTTCTTTGGTAGGATAATCATTTGGTTCAACGTTATTCATTCTGCCACATGATGGAGTGTGACATGGCTGAGTTTCACTGTTTCTAATGACTTATCTTTTGTGATTTTTTATGTCAAATTTGCCAAAGAAACATGAGGAAATAGAAAAAAAAAAAATAAATAAATAAAATGAAAAACTCAAACTCTCTTCTTCCGGGTGCTTTCAATTAGTGTTTGAGGACAGAATTTCATGTATCCTTCATCTTTATATCAATTTAATGGAGTACTTCACTACTTCTTCAGAAAAGGGATTGACTACCTTGTTTTTCAAGGCAGACAGTGCATGTTATTACTCTTTTTCACTGTTATCTTTCTTCATATCACAGTCAATGCTTGTTTTCTTTAATCCAATCGAGTTCGGGATCACATTCACATTTGGGAATTTACTTTCACTTGGGTTGTATTTTATTTTTTTATGTGTTGGGGTGTGGTAATTTATTCAATATTTAGAAATATGGTTCAGTACTGTTGTTTTTTGGATGAGGATGGGCCTGTTTGTCCTACGTGTAGTCTCACAATTTTGTACTAATCAGTGGGCACTGATCCCTTAAACGGTTGTTTATGTTTTGCAGCATCTTCATTTAGTTTCTATGTAATTATGTTTGCTATTGCAGTTTCGACGTAATTATGTTTGCTATTATATGTACTTATACAATGTGCTACTGTTTTAATGTGAGAGCATGTTTCATATAAGTTCGAGATTGGAAGTACAATTAAATATTGAATGTTATATTTTCCTAAGTACCACAAGAGTATGAATTGATGATTAATGTTTTACAAATGTATAGGTTTAGATGGCGTCGTCTAGGCGTAGAGCTCGTAACCGAAATGATGCTGATGAAGAAACGGAAATTCTGGTAGATGTTGCGGTTGCATTGTGCGCAATTGCCGCGTTGGAAATAGAATTTGGAACACATGGACGACCTAGGAAGAGGCAGAGACAAGAACTTGTGGATGTGATTGGCAGACTGACAGATGTTCTTGTCGATATGAGGAGGGGATCCAGGGCTGCAAATCGTAGTGAAGATGAGGGGGTTGGAGAGAACTCCAGTGTTCCATCTGATCCATTTTCCATGTCTAACTGTATAGACATTTTAACGTCTATACAAGTTCATACAGATATATACCTCAAGGTTGTCAAATACTTGTATGAAAATCCAAGGTTTAGGGAGGAATTCATACAATTGCCACCCGAGCATAGATTAAATTGGGTTAATACTAGGTTTTCAAATTGATTAGGATGAACCTGTTTGTCCTACGTGTAGTCTCACAATTTTGTACTAACCAGTGGGCACTAATCCCTTGTATGGATGTTTATTTCTTGTGGCATCTTGATTTAGTTTCAATGTAATTATGTTTACTATTTAATGTACTTATACAATGTGCTACTGTTTTAATGTGAGAGCATGTTTCATATAAGTTCGAGATTGGAAGTACAAATAAATATTGCATGTTATATTTTTCCAAGTACCACAACAATATGAATTGATGTTCAATGTTTTGCAAATGTATAGGTTTAGATGGTGTCGTCTAGGTGTAGAGCTCGTAACTGAATTGATGCTAATGAAAAATGGGAAATTCTGGTAGGTGTTGCGATTGCATTGTGCACTGTATTCGCTTGCACTTTTTTAAAAATCGACTCGTTGGGAAACCCGGTATGTTGCCCCAGTCCCGGGTTGATTGGGTCGGTCAACATTTAAACCCTCTGATTGCAGATTAAAGAAGGAGATCAGGTAACACTACTGCAACCTTATTACCGTCATCATGTTTTTTTCTTGGAAAGAAAAGGTATGTTCTCACAGATTGTTGAATTTCATTATTGTTTTGTTCATGGAGGGACGAAATTTTATTTGGGTACATGGCTGTCCGAAAAATCTTAGCTTGCTCTTTTATTCTATAGATCTACCATAAGGATGATGAAGAACATATACCTGATTTTTAGATTTTGTTTCATGGAAATTGAACCAGAGTTACAATTTCAGGTCAATTCGTGTGGATTTTGTGGGGCAAATGCTTCTGAACCGGCAAAACCCTCTCACCTCAACAAGGACTTCGTTCATCGGTCTTTGCACAACTCAAACCATGAAAGTAGTTTCAAGTAGAATATCAGTGAGCTATGTATTTGTAATGGGTTTTTTGTTGATCTTCTCATTTACTTAATATTGTTGTAATGCGTGTAAATAGATTATAGGATTGAGAGGAAAGAAAAAAAATACTTAAAGAGTGTGAATTCTTGCTCAAGTCAAAACACCATCTGTCAAAGAAATAAATTGTAGATTTTTATGAAGACTACTTTTCAAAATTCTTCTGAGTTTTTACCTTGTGCAGTCCTTTTTATTATGCTGCTGATTGGCATCATGATTGATATAAGGGCCAAAACTCCAGAAAACTTTCAATGACAATATTTCATTTTTCTTTATAATCTAGAAATCCTCTGTGAACTTGTTTTACAAACCTGAATATGAATTGAAGTCTCTGTTAATTCGTATTTCGGCTCTCAGCATATTGTTGTTGCATTTTGGTTGGCAAAAGTGTAGGAGAATGTTATTGAATTTTGGTAAATATTATAAAATGAACTTTCTTATTTCCATATTTATTTGTTCAATGAGCATATACTTGTATTGACATAACATATGTGGGAGATGTGCCTCCGACCTTCTTATCACCTCTGTTGACTCTTGCAGCCGTTCCAGGTTCTTTTCATTGAACGAAAATGACTGATTCATAACCCAAATAAATTTATTAATATTTTTTATTTGTTTCATTTTAAATCTGAGATGCCTGAAATAGAAATGGGAATCCGATGCTATATTTGGAAGTGTCATAAATGGACAGGAAGTTGATAGATTACTGAGATAATGTAACCCTCAATACTATATTGGTTTTGGTATAGTATTCGGATAATGTTACATTCAACACTAAGTGTTTGATCTTTACAACGATAAAAAAACATTGGATTTTATTGAAAAGATCCAATGGTTGGCATGGGAAATTATATCATGATCCTATATATATATGAACAGCACGTAAACACAAATTCGGAGGAGGAACTAGAGATGGAGATTGAAGGGAAAAGTGAATATTCCAACTTATATTCTATGTATGAAGGAATTGGGCCATGGAGCTATGCTGAAAACTCCTACTATCAGGTAGTATTTTCTGTTTATATTTGCTGTTATTGACTAGAATTTTGAGTAAGATTTCTTGAAACTGCTTTATGTTTTGCAGAGAAAAGCTTCAGAGATAGCTTAACAAATCATCTGCCAGGAGATCATCAACAAGCTTGACATCAAACTAGTTTTTCATTCAGGTTTGTTTCATTCATTTTGCTTTGCAGATTTTGGCTGATCTACTGGGCCAAATGCATTTCTTAGAGCTTAAACTTGGATCAGGAGAAGGACAAAGTGCTGCTGAGTTTCAAGTGTTCTTTAATGATCTTGTCAGCAATGACTTCAACACTCTCTTTAAATTATTCCCACCTAAAAGGAGATATTATGCAGCCGGAGTTCCAGGATCTTTCCATGATCGTTTGTTTCCGGAGCCCTCCCTTTGCATTGCGTTTTCAGCTTTTGCTTTCTACTGGCTCTCCAATGTGCCGTAAGAAGTCAAAGACAAAACCGCCAAGGCCTGGAATGGTGGGAGGATTCGCTACAGCAGTGAAAGAAGGGAAGTTTTACAGGCTTATTCGGATCAGTTTGCGGAGGACTTGGAGCGATTCCTGGTTGCAAGAGCACAAGAAGTTGTAGGTGGAGGGCTGATGGCTCTGATCTTACCAGGTCTCAGTGACAAAATGAGTTTTTCTCCGAAGACCGCTGGACTTTAATTAGAACTTTTGGTATCTTGTCTTGTGGGGATTACCAGAAAGGTAAGAATTTTTGAACACTTAAGCCAAAATTTGACTGTTCTAATGATTATCTAAAACGCATTTTGGCCAATAAATAAACCTAACCAGACATTCTCGAAACTAACTAGAGAAATTGAGACATGAACTAGATAACCCCGATACAGATTATACACATCAGGATTTGAACGTGAGACGTTTGGTTTAGATATAATATTAAGAACCTACTTAGCCTAGAAACTAATTAATATCAAACCAATAATTTTCCCATCTTTACATGTTTTAGATAGGGACCAAGATCCTCTTCTGATATGAGGTTTTACTTAAACAAATAAAGACTTGTGATTAACAGTTACAAAATACTATAGGGTCTAGTGAGCGAGGAGGAAGTGGATTCATTCAACTTGCCTCTATATTACCCTTCAATGAAAGAATTGGAGGCAGTGATAGAGAGAATTAATGGACATTTTATCACTGAAAGAATGGAGATACTCAATAATCCATATAGAAATGTTAATCCTAAGGCCAAGATTGAACAATCCACCAAACACCCGAGAGCTGTGTTTGATGGAATAGTTAGTAAACACTTTGGAAGAGATTCCACGAGTGCATTGTTTGAGAAATATTATTCAAAAGCAGTTGCAGAGTGTTCATTGTTATTTGATCGAGAAATCCAGACACTGAAGGTTGTTGTAGTTCTTCTCAAACGTCGAGTAATCAATTAATAAAAGACTTGAGATGGATGCTAATTCTTTAGCATTTGAAGGATTTTTCAGTTTAGATCTTTGTGCTTCAGCGTAATCAATCAGAAATATGTAAGAATGTTTTGGTAGTCTTAAATCGAATATTGACTATTAAAACCTTCACAAAATATCATAAACTTAATGAGCATATTCTGATCAAATTTAGAGAAATGCTATGCCACCTACTCAGTTTGCTTTGTCTCTTGTGGGTTTAGTTTAATGCAACTTATGGAGATCCCAAAAATCAATTCAAGTCAAATAGAAACTGTACTAAATATTGCTCTTGCACTTGATTTTGTAGCTGTTCCAGTCTGTGCCACCCACCCTATGTTGAATATTAAATATTGGCAGGGGATATCATATCATGATTCATGATCTTTTATAAATATATATGGCGCACACGCAAATTCGGAGGAGGAATTAGAGATGGAGATTGAAGGGAAAAGTGAATATCCCAACTCATATTCTACGTATGAAGGAAATGGACCATACAGCTATGCTGAAAACTCCTACTATCAGGTTCTATTTTCTGTTTATATTTGCTGTTATTGACTAGAATTTTGAGTAAGATTTCTTAGAACTTCTTTATGTTTCGCAGCGAAAAGCTTCAGAGATAGCTCAAGAAATCATCTGCCAGGAGATCATCAGCAAGCTTGACATCAAACAAGTTTTTCATTCAGGTTTGTTTCATTCATTTTGCATTGCAGATTTTGGGTGCGCTACTGGGCCAAATGCATTTCTCGCAGATCAGGCGATAATCGAAGCTATAGAGCTTAAACTTAAATCAGGAGAAGAAGGACAAAATGCCACTGAATTTAAAGTGTTCTTCAACGATCATGTTCAGCAATGACTTCAACACTCTCTTTAAATTACTCCCACCTGAAAGGAGATATTGTGCAGCCGGAGTTCCAGGATCTTTCCATGATCGTTTGTTTCCGAAGGCCTCCCTTCACATTGCGTACTCATCTTTTGCACTCCACTGGCTCTCCAATATGCCGAAAGAAGTCAAAGACAAAACCTCCAAGGCCTGGAGTGGAGGGAGGATTCACTACACCAGTGAAAGAAGGGAAGTTTTACAGGCTTATTCGGATCAGTTTGCGGAAGACTTGGCGGGGTTTCTGGTTGCAAGAGCGCAAGAACTTGTGGGTGGAGGGCTGATGGCTCTTATATTTCCTGGTTTTAGTGATAATATCTGTATATCTCAGACCACTGCTGGACTGGTTTTCCAACTTCTCGGATCTTGTCTAATGGAGATGGTACAAAAGGTCAGAAAATTTTAGCTGCTTTAAAGGTAGAAATTGCTTAATAAAATCATATAAAAGATTCATTTATATATATTATCTTGTGGGAACATTAACATATTTTAAAATGTGAACATTAACAGAAGAGGCAAGTGGGGGTTGTTGACTTCACTCAATTTAAAAAAAAAATAAAAATAGCACCAACCTTTTTCCCAAAGACAAATCCTTCCTTGACTAATGCTACAGTTATCGAAGGATGCACACTGAATTCGTGCATCGAATGATGTGGCATAATCCTGACCGTTTATTCATTATCAGTTAATATTAATCAACGATCAAAATTTTGTCACGTTATTCGATACACAGATTCAGTGTGTATTTTCGGTGACTTTACCATTTTCCATCCTTCCTTTCCCTCTAGGATGCTTTTTCTAAGTTCCATTCCCCTTTTTCTAGCATCCCATGGCCACCAATTTTCGCTTCTTGGCTCATGCTATAGTACGTGTATGATAATCTGCTTGTGTTGTGTGAGCTTATTTTACACCTCTAAAAGTGAAACTAATGCATATAGTGAAACACAGTAACATTTTAATGATGAGCAGTCTCCATGATAACCTTTCCATTTGTATAAGTTTATTGAAGGGGTTTGGATGTATATAGTAAAATACAATAACATTTTATAAGTGTTATTATAAACCCAATTATTTACTGGGAAACAAAATATTATTTCCAAAACGTGATTTTATCTTATTTTTATTGTTTATGGGCCAAATATATTATTTGGAGTTTACTTTGTCACTTTTCAGTGATATAGGGCCCAAACGTAAGGGAAACCGGGTAAAAAATGTTGGAAAGGTAAAAACCTAAAACTTATTCGCTAACTCATCTCCTTCTCTTCTTTGTTCGTTCTCTTCTCACTGACGGCGCAAACTTCTTCATTCTTGAACTTGAATCTTCGTTCTTCGATCTCTTTAGTCTTTTCTTCGATCTGTTTTCATCTTTGACCGATTGATCATCGTGGACCTTCGCTGTTTGACTTCGATCTTCTTTGAATCTTTCATCTTCGACATTCGTTCATCTTACAATCGTTCATCATCTTTGATTTCAGCGACTGTAACAGGTAAATTTTTGTAGAGTACATAATTTCCGATTCACGTTTTCATTATTTTTCAAAATAACCTATATACTCTGTCTTTGTGGGTGATTTTAAGAATAAAATTCAGTTTGCTGCTTGGTTGGAACTTGAAATTGATAAAGCCAACGACTTCCTGCAGAACATTTTCATTTTAATAACGAGTGCAAGAAGAATGCTGTTGTTGAAATGAACCCTATTTTACTTGTGGCTGTATCTGTGGTTGGATTTTGACGTTTTTAGCATTAAAAGAAGATTGCATGTTTCTTGGATTCTTCTGGTGATGGAATTGTGTTCGCATTTGCTTTTTTTGTTGTTTTCTTTCCACTCTTTGAATTTCTTTGGTAGGATAATCATTCAGTTCAACTTTATTCAGTCTGCCACATGATGGAGTGTGACATGGCTGAGTTTCACTGTTTCTAATGACTTATCTTTTGTGATTTTTTATGCCAAAGAAACAAAATGAGGAAATAGAAAAAAAAAAAAAAAATGAAAAACTCAAACTCTCTTCTTCTGGGTGCTTTCAATTAATGTTCGAAGACAGAATTTCATGTATACTTCATCTTTATATCAATTTAATGGAGTACTTCACTACTTCTTCAGAAAAGGGATTGACTACCTTGTTTTTCCAGGCAGACAGTGTGTGTTATCAAGGCTTAGGTTCTGAAAGTTCAGGCTCTCGTTAGATTATATGTAGATTAGTTGTTTATTTATGCGATCTGGGATTTCTTCAACTTGATGATGGGCTGTTGAATATTAATGTCTTGTCTGTGTCGTTGAAGTTAGATCGTCTTACAAAAGATGTGGATTTGATCTTGATCTGATCATCCTCATCTCTTTTTCAGGTGTACAAAACATTTTCTTAATCTTATCAAACCAAAAATAATAGTTTTAGTCTGCACAAAATTTTATTTTCTTTTGCCTTTTGATTCATTTGCAGTAAAGCTAATTATTCCAATGATGTTTGAAGATTTTGAGGTGAGGATGGTAATGGAGGAAGATTAGAAAAAACAAAGCAAGGGGCTGTGTTGGTATTTTGGTTTGGTGAGAAAGCTTACATGTTGATAGGGTTTTTGATAAGAACCATTTATTGCATGTGATGTAGATTCTTGTACACACCATCTTCACTTCAAGGCCTTGGTGCATGTACTGTATCTGTATTTCATCAATGCACCCTCTTAGGTTATTGGAGGGTTTGGCAATGTTACCGGACAGGTAATTTTGAAATACCCCATTAGGGGAAATGTGATGTTGTATTTGCAACAAAAATTCAGTTAAGGAAATATGACCCTTTGCCAAAATCTGATTCATGTAATTGGATTCTGCTTTTAGGTTGGGGTGTTATTTTGAGTGAAGTAGAAGAAGAATGCTGTTGTTGAAATGAACCCTACTTCACTTGTGGCGGTATCTTTGGTTGGATTTTGAAGTTTTTAGCATTAAAAGAAGATTGCATGTTTCTTGGATTCTCCTGGCGATAGAATTGTGTTCGCATTTGCTTTTTCTGTTGTTTTCTTTCCACTCTTTGAATTTCTTTGGTAGGATAATCATTCCGATCAACTTTATTCATTCTGCCAGATGATGGAGTGTGACATGGCTGAGTTTCACTGTTTCTAATGACTTATATTTTGTGTTTTTTTATGTCAAATTTGCCAAAGAAACAAAATGAGGAAATAGAAAAAAAAAAAACAAAAAAAAAAGTGAAAAACTCAAACTCTCTTCTTCTGGGTGCTTTCAATTAATGTTCGAAGACAGAATTTCATGCATCCTTCATCTTTATATCAATTTAATGGAGTACTTCACTACTTCTTCAGAAAAGTTATTGACTACCTTGTTTTTCAAGGCAGACAGTGTATGTTATTACTCTTTTTCACTGTTATCTTTCTTCATATCACAGTCAATTCTTGTTTTCTTTAATCCAATCAAGTTCGGGGTCACATTCACATTTGGGAATTTACTTTCACTTGGGAGGTTTTATTTTATTTTTTTATGTGTTGGGGTGTGGTAATTTATTCAATATTTAGAAATATAGTTCAGTACTGTTGTTTTTTGGATGAGGATGAGCCTGTTTGTCCTACGTGTAGTCTCACAATTTTGTACTAACCAGTGGGCACTGATCCCTTAAACGGTTGTTTATTTTTTGCAGCATCTTGATTTAGTTTTGACGTAATTATGTTTGCTATTGTAGTTTGGACGTAATTATGTTTGTTATTGTATGTACTTATACAATGTGCTACTGTTTTAATGTGAGAGCATGTTTCATATAAGTTCGAGATTGGAAGTACAATTAAATATTGAATGTTATATTTTGCTAAGTACCACAACAGTATGAATTGATGATCAATGTTTTATAAATATATAGGTTTAGATGGCGTCGTCTAGGCGTAGAGCTCGTAACCGAAATGATGCTGATGAAGAAACAGAAATTCTGGTAGATGCTGCAGTTTCATTGTGCGCATTTGCCGCTTGGGAAATAGAATTTGGAACACATGGACGACCCAAGAAGAGGAAGAAGAAATCCGACCAGAGACAAGAACTTGTGGATGTGATTGGCAGACTGGTAGACATACTTGTCGATATGAGTAGGGGATCCAGGGCTGCAAATCGTAGTGAAGATGAGGGGGTCGGAGAGAACCTTAGTGCTCCATCTGATCCATTTTCCATGTCCAACTGTCAGGACATTTTAACGTCTATGCAAGTTCATACAGATATATATATCAAAGTTGTCAAATACTTGTATGAAAATCCAAGGTTTAGGGAGGTATTCGTACAATTGCCACCCGAGCATAGGTTAAATTGGGTTTATACTAGGTTTTCAAATTGATTAGGATGAGCCTGTTTGTCCTATGTGTAGTCTCACAATGTTGTACTAACGAGTGGGCGCTAATCCCTTGTATGGTTGTTTATTTTTTGTAGCATCTTGATTTAGTTTTGATGTAAATATGTTTGTTATTGTATGTACTTATACAATGTGCTATGTTTTAATGTGAGAGCATGTTTCGTATAAGTTCGAGATTGGAAGTACAAATAAATATTGAATGTTATATTTTCCTAAGTACCACAACAATGTGAATTGATGATCAATGTTTTACAAATGTATAGGTTTAGATGTTGTCGTCTAGGCGTAGAACTCGTAATCGAAATGATGCTAATGAAAAAGGGAAATTTTGGTAGATGCTGCGATTGCATTTGCATAGTTACCACATTGCACTGTTTTAAAAGTTGACCCGTAGAGAATCCTGGTATGTTGCCGGGGTCTCGGGTTGACCGGTCCAACCGGTTGGACTATCAGTTGGGTTTGTCAACATTTAACTTTTTGTTTGACACCCTGAGCTTCTAGATATTGATGTTACAAAGACAAAAGAGATCAATCCTATTAAAATGCGGAATTGTTGCCCTTTCATTCGCTTGAGCATCACATCTTTTGTTTCATTGATTTTAAATGCAAGGTAATGGCTACCACCTACTCTGGATGTCGCAACCATCACCCTCCGATGTGCTTCTTTGACTTTTTCTTTTTTTCGGTAGCTAGTAATTAGAGGTGGAAAAGCAACCTACCCGGCCCGACCCGACCTGCGGCAGGTCGGTCCTGACCCACCCGGTAACATTGGCAGGCCGGGTTAGGCTTGCCAATGTTAGGGAATTGGCTGGCCCAACCCAGACCGCCAACCCTAACTCACCGGGTTAGGCCGCGGGTCGGGTCAGGTTAACCCGCTTTTTGATTTTTTTTTTTTTAATTTTGTTTTGTTTTATTTTGTTTAAGTTTAAATGTTTAATTAACTTTTCAAATGAATAATTAACAATTTATAAATGAATAAATGTAATTGTTTTTAGTTAATTGTTAATTTCTTTTCAAATATCAATAATTAAATTAAATTAATTTTTTTTTTTTAACATTCCAAACATTAATTCAATTTTAATACATTAAAATTGTAATATAAGAATAATTAAATTTATTCATTTATGAAAAAATAAAATAAGAAATTACAATAATTATTGCCTCGTTAAAAACCTCACCAAGAAAAACCCAATGGGAGAAAAACTTGGTAAAGAAAAAAGAGTGCAATAATTGACAATTAATTTACAAATTACATTTTACAAAACAACTAAATTGGGGGTGGTTCACTAGGACCTCCCTCATCTGTATCATCTATATTACAAAATTGAAATGATTCTACTAAAGCATTGTCGATAACCTCGTATTGATCTTGATGGCGCGATCGTTCCCAATCTCGAAGACATGTGAGGACTTCAATCATTTTTGGAGCAAGTTTAGTCCTCCTTTCATTTAAAATCCTTCCACTTGCACTAAATGTTTGTTCGGATGAGACGGTTGAGACAGGAACAGCGAAAACATCCAAGGCAAGTCTTGATAATACCGGAAAAATACATTTTCTGGCTCTCCAATACTCTAAGAGATCAAAGTGACCTGTTGAAAACATTTCGGGGGTTGCCAAATATTGTTGAAGTTCATTACTCTGCGACTCCATGGAGGACAGCATATTAGTTGTTGTTGTTGTTGGTGGTGGTGCTTCTGAAGAGGAGGCTGTGCTTCGGACTCGGGTCCTCTTCGGCCTATTCAGTGCATTCCAAGAGAATAAGTCTTCATTTGTTTCTTCTGCTACAGCTTCTCTGGATATTTCGCCTCTTTGCGACTGCGGGTTCCCATACCTGTTTTCATATTGGAAATATACTTCGAAAAGACTATTTTTTACCTCTCCTATTTGATTGACAAATGATTCGGTTTGTAAATTTTCACTTAAATTGTCAAAACCATTTTCTAAACGTGCTAATTTAATTCTAGGATCAAATATAGCACCTAAACAATAAAGAAAAGGAATGGGTTTCCAATATTTTTAAAAAAAAATTCCATTGCCTTTATTGGTGCATTTAAAATTACATTGTCTTTGTTTTTTATAAATAACTCGGAAATTTTTATAATTGTATGTATTACCAATGGACTAGTAGGATAATACACACCAGAAAGTTGTAAAGTGGATTGGTAAAAAGTTTTAAGAAAAGAATGAAATACTTTAGCTATTTGTCAATCATTTTCTACCAAATAATGAGGACCTCTATTATTTGCTACAAAATAACTAATTATATTAGCATAAGGTAAACATGAATCAAGCATTAAATAAGTACTATTCCATCTAACAGGCATATCTAATGCAAAAGTTCTAGGAGACATATTTGATTTTATACAAGCGTCTTGAAATTCAGCATTTCTTTTATTACTACTAGTAATCCAAGCTAAACAATCTCTAATTCTATTAATATTTTCTTTAATTGTTTTCATACCACTTTTCACAATTAAATTAATAACATGACATGCACAACGTTGGTGAAAAAACTTCAAATTGTTATATAAAGGATAATTACTTTGAAAATAATCTATAGCTTTACTATTAGAACTTGCATTATCTAAAGTTAAACTTATCACTTTACTAACAATATCATAATCTTCTAAAACTTCAACAATTTTATTATAAATTTGTTCACCACTATGATCAACATCCATTAATCTAAATCCTAATAAAGATTTATTTAATTTACATTCATTATCAAAATAATGACTAGTCACACAAATATAATCTTGTTTAGCTCTACCACTCCAAATATCGGCAGTTAGAGCCACACTAACATGACAAGTATGTATTTTATTTTTTAATTCTAATTTCATTTTTTTAAACAATTTTATTAAATCATTTCTAGTTGCAGTTTTAGAATAACTTTTAAATCCTGGAAAAAATGAATTTTGAACAAATCTTTCAAAATATTTATCTTCAGCCATATTAATAGGTTGATCAGCTGCAGCAATATATAAAGCTAACTGTTCCCTATATACATCAGAATTATAACGCCAATTAGTACCCATATTAGTTATTTGAGTTTGATTGCTTTCTCTATTTCCATGTTGATTAATATGTTTATTAGCATGCCTTTTTAAAGTACTAGTACCATTACCTGAATCAGCTTTATAAATATTTCCACAGTATTTGCATCTCGCTTTCTTGACTTGAACGCCATTTTCTGTCTCGTAAAACTTGTCGAAATGCGCCCAAACGTCTGATGTGTGTCTGTCTTCGCTTTCGACGGCAGTTGATGATCCCGCCTCAGCTTGAGATGAAGTTGGACGAGCACGACGATTACGAGGACGACTTCTAGAACCACCGGGAGCTGTTGGAATCGGGGGCATATTTTGAGGTGTATCGGATTCTGAGAATGGGAAAGCGGGACTATTTGAATCTCCTCCTGCATTTATGTTAGTAAAATCAGCGGGACTAGGACTAGGATAGTAGTTTCCTTCATCATTGTAATTGATGGGAGAGAAATATCTATCCATTGTAGTTGAAAAAAAAAATTGATGTAGAAGAAATAAAAATTAAAGAAAGAGAATTGGAATATGGAAATTGGAATTTGGAAAATTGGAAATATGAATTAAAAATTGCAAAAACTAATAAAAATTAAAATACGAGCAAATTGATAACAAAGAGATTAAGAGAATAAATGAATAATTGAGAGATTAGAGATTAGAGAATATGAGAGAATGAGAGAATTTGAGTTGTGAGAAAAATGTGAGAATTTAGGGCCAATTTATAGGAAAAAAGGGGAAAGAAAAATGACGAAAAAGACCCCTCCAACGGCTATAAAACGACTATATTTCAAGGGTAAAGGGGTAATTTGAAAAACAAAATAAAATATTTTATTTTTTTTAATTTTTTTCGGCCAACGCCGGGTTGGCTGTTTTCAACCCGGCGGGTTGACTGTTATTTGACAACTGCCAACCCAGTGGGTTGGCAGGTCTTTTTCAAAAGAGACAAAACAGCAACCCACTGGGTTGCAGGTTGCCATTTTACAACTCGACCTGCCCGGGGGTTGCTACCGGGTTAGGGTCAACCCGCTTTGTTACGGGCCAGGTTAGGGTTGACCCGCCTAACCCGACCCTTTTGTTCCACCTTTACTAGTAATCATATAAAAAAAAAATAAAGAATACACACAAAAAAAAAAAAAAAAAAAAAAAAGACAGCCAACTTTTTCACAAAACAAACTAGAGAGACAAAACAAGCCCTTATCAAAGCTAGAGCTCAAAAATTTGCCCAAAGTCCTAAAGGCACCCACTCAAACAAGAGAAACAACCTCCCAAATCTGCTAAAAAGCAAAAACAGTAGGCAAAACCAACCCAACACCAAAGCACCAGCACCAACGCACCAGCAAAAAGAGACCACCCAGCAGATGGTTGAAGCCTAGCACCAAAAGGGAAAAAAAATAACTTCGCAGAGACGCACCCAACAAGAGGACAAAAACAGCCACCAGAACCCAGAAACACCAGCTTTACAGCAAAATCAATAAAGAAGATAAAGAGAATCTCCTGAGTTTCGCTCACCGTTGTTGAAGTTGAAGTTAAAAAAGATGAAGAAGATTCGACGATTGGAGATGTAATTGGAAGTTAAAAGAAGACGAAGAAGAAGAAGATGAAGAGAATCTCCCACGTTTTGCTGTTGCGGCTAGCTCGACTAAAACTTAGAAAAGAAATGGAGAATGAAAGGTATGAGGATTAGGTTTTCTATAGGGGCTCAAATAGTGAACCGGATTAAGCTTTGGGCTGGTTGGACTGGCCGGTTTGTACTATTTAACAGGTCCATTAACGGTCAGAAGCGGTTTTTTGATTATTACCTGTTTTAATATTAACCCGGACCGAAGTTGAACTCGAGTCCCGGTCGAATCGGCCAGTCCGATCCTGGTTTTAAAACAATGCCGCATTGGAAACAGACTTTGAAACACATGGACGACGATTACAACATACATCCGCATTAACTGGTTACAGTAATCATGGTTATTAGTATCCTACGATACGTAATACATATCTTACGATACGTAATACATATCTTACGATATGATTCAATACAGGTCACCAACGATACGTATCAGAGTGTATCTTAAACATTTCG